GGGAACTAAAGTCCGTGTCCTGTTGCTTGTATGAGTGAGCAGCACAACGCATGCAGCATGGTATATAACAAATATTTGTTTATTTTTTTGGGGTGTATATACAGCTGAGCAGCCCGCACCTGTTCCTTGAGAGATATAACAACCTTCGCCGCACACTGGTTTGTAGGCTTCAGCCCCTCCTGCGCCAGCAGCCCCCGCAGGTCCTTCACCTGCCCAAACACCCCGATGAGTGAGTCCCGCGGCAGCACAATATCTTCAGGTTTCAGCTGCATAGAAAACACACACACGCAGGCTAACAACAGCCCCATGCATGCATCCATATGCATGCATGCATGCATGCATTGATTCGGAAATGCATAGTGCATGCACTGACGTACTGGTGCATGCATAAAGTAATCTATGCATCCGCTACAACCCCAAAAAGAAAAACCCAAAACGCCACGATAACAAAAGAAATAAACAAAAAAAAGAAAGGAATAAAAGAGAGAAACAAACAAAAAAAACAAAAGAAACAAACAAACAAAAGAAGCAAACAAACAAAAGAAACAAACAAAAGAAAAAAAAAAAACACAAGTACGCATGCAATCTCCCCCCCCGCTGCTTGCCTGGCCTGGGGGATAAGGAAAGACGAGGCCGAGGAACTCCGACTCCCGGCTGAACTTGGGCAGCCGCACCCGCTTCGTCAGGAACTGCCCGCCCCCTATACCCCGCAACCAGAACCGCCAGTCTGCAACCAACACAGCAGCAGCGCAGCAGCAGCACAGCAGCAGCAGCAGCAGCAGCAGCACACAGCAGCAGCAGCACACAGCAGCAGCAGCAGGCAATGGCAGCAGAGACCAGCAGCACACAGCAGCAGCACATAGCAGCAGCACATAGCAGCAGCACACAGCAGCAACAGGCAGCAGCAGCAGGCAGCAGCAGCAGGCAGCAGCAGCAGGCAGCAGCAATACACACATATAGCGAAAAGTAAGGAGATAAGAAAGAAGAGGAGAAGCTGTACAGACACCGCAGCTTTGAGGTATAAAGAAAGAAGCAAGCGAGGGCTACAAAGGCAGCAAAAAATAAAAAATAAAAAAAAAATAAAAAAAAAATAAAAAAAAATAAAGATATACCGTCTGGCCGGCGCTGAAACTTTTCTCTAAGGTCCTCGTGCCGCCCGTAAGCCTTCAGCCGTCTCTCTCTCCCCAGCGTCTTCACGCACTCTACATACTCCTGCTCCCTGCATATACAAAGTATAATATACAGCAGCAGCAGCAGCAGCAGCAGCAACAGCAGCAGCAGCAGCAGCAGCAGCAATGTAAAGGAGTAGAAGTGCAGCAGCAGCGGGACCGATAGCAGCAGCAGCTCCAGCAGCAGCAGATGGAGCAGCAGCAGCTCAGCTGTAGCAGCAGCAGCTCTACCAGCAGTAGCCGTAGCAGCATCTGCAGCAGCAGCAGCAGCAGCAGCAGCAGCAACAGCTGCTGCTGCTGCTGCTGCTGCTGCTGCTGCTGAGGACCCACCGCTCAAGATCCAGGAAAGTCCCCACGCCGTAGAGTGCGTGGCGCAGCCACTCCACCTTCTCCCCCCTGGCGTTCACTGCTGTGTCTGTTACACACACACCAGCACAAACCCTAAACCCTAAACCCTAAACCCTAAACCCTAAACCCTAAACCCTAATTCTGCATATCAAGCACTGCAATCTTCGGCAGGCTGTGGGGGGTATAATCCTCACGCCCTACAGCAACCCATCCCCCAAGCAAGATATCCAAAAACCCTAAACCCTAAACCCTAAACCCTAACCCCTAAACCCTAAACCCTAAACCCTAATTTTTTACCTGGCAAGGGTAGCCAAGCCGGTCTCTCCCTGAAAGCTCCTCCCCAGAGTGCCTCTTCTCCCACAGGTGGCAGCTGGTTGCGTGGTGTTTCTCTTCCCCCCGCTGCTGCTGCTGCTGCTGCTGCTGTATATGCATCCATGCAGACAACAAACAAAGAACACCCAGACACTGTTC